ATCATCATAAAAATCAACATTTAAGCTGTCAATGATGAAAATAATATAAATAATTAATAAATGTGCATTATAAGCATGCAAAATATTTCAGAAGAGTATTTTTGCTCGTCTTTGTATCTGAAGGTTTTATTCCAAGCAGGATCAATTGGTCCAGATACCAATTGTCATTAAACTTATAACTGATTAAGCTATTTAAATAAAACCCTAACAAAATTTGAAATAAAGATACATCAAAGCTAGTTTACATAACCAAGATACTTTTAGAATATTTTTAGAATAATTTGATAATTTATGGGTATATTTTGAAGAAAAAATAGTTTTATATATGTCTATTGAAAGATTAAAAATACTACGTGGGGTGTCAAAATTCATATGTTCAGAATTCACTTTTCAAACAAATACAAGTGAAGCAAGTGTTTTTTTTTTTTCATATTTTGACAATACTTTGAATTCTCCACCAACCTTTGCTTACATCTCCTACGGGAGAGGTTCGGTAACGAAGTGAGGGTCATTTAATGAGGAGGAAATAATGACCGTCCAAAGCGGCAACTTTTTGCCATCGTTACTCACCGAGAAACATTTATCTCTTTTTTGTCTTTCTTCTTGTTCTTGTTATTAGGGGAATTATCGTCCATTTAATTTGACGTTACTATATGAAAACCATTCGCACAGCAAAGGAGTCAGGATGTATTAAGACCAAGTTAATTTTTCAAAAAATGTACGAAGGTGTATATTTTTTTATTGTGTAACCGTAACGGTTAAAATGTTGGTCAATACGCCCCAGTCTTTATTTCAGGGCTCCAATATGTAAGTAGGAGCTTTAGACTCTAACATCTGAAAGCTCAAATATCGTCTTCTGTTTTAATTTTTAAATGTGGAAATTATTAGAAGACCACTTTAAGATGTCCTATTGTCAAGAAAAGTAAAGACATGCGTCTCTTTAGCGAGGGTGTCTGAATTGGATAATCGCTCCCGACGAAACAAACAATCTCAATAGTTAAAATTTCAACTGTAGGTTTATATGAGACCTACAGGTTGTCCCGGAACTCTCGACCAATATTTTAGGGCATTGTTTCTGAGTAAGAAACATATCTAAATATCATATTTAAACTGTTCGGAAGTCTTTAGATACTCACTCAGCCGACATTTGGTTTTTTTCGCTGGTTATTTTTTTTCTAAAAAGTGGTTAAAGACACAAAATAGAAACTTTGCACAAACATTTATGACAACTATACAAAGCTACAAAATGTTATGACGTTTTTTAAACTAATAAAACAAAATGGCGGCTATTTTCTAAAAAAAAACTCAAAACCGTTATTTTACAAATATTTTAAATGGTCGCAATTTTGTTTTATGAATTAAGAAAAATTTTCATTTTTTATTAGCTTTGTCTGGTTGTCATACATGTCTGGGCAAAGTTTTAATTTCGTATCTCACTTAATAGAAAATAAATAATAAGTGAAAAACAAAATGGCGGCTGAGTGAGCAACTACTAAGTAATTCTGGACAATTTAAAAATGATATTTAGATAGTTTTCTTACTCAGGAACAATGTCCAAAAGTATTAGCAGAGAGTTCCGCGACACCCAGTATATTTGTTATAGGATATTTATGTAAATAACTTCTGAATTATAAATTAAATAAAAACGTATCTAAAATAAGCGATTACTCTATGACAAAAACATGTCTAGAAAAACGTGAATACATTTTTTCCTACAATGTTTTCTTTTATTAGAGTTAGTAATATCTTAAATACCTTCATGATCAGCATTGCACGTGTTATTAAATCATTAATTGTATTGATAAAAAACTAAATATACGCCTTATCTATCTATAATATTAAAACGAAGCAGTGTTTTTTTATTTCACGATTCTGAATCAACCACTCGACGGATTTTCATGATTTTTGTGTTGAAAGAAAGATAATTTTGAGAACTAGGGAATGTCGAAGCCATAATTTTAGTTTAGGGTCCCAGTTTTTTAGAAATCAAGTTTTAATTTTTTTAAAGTCTAGCAGCCGACGCTAAGATTCTAAACTAGCTTTTGGCATAAAATAATTTGCTTAACATAACAGCTGTAAACATTCAGCTTTTGTGTCACAAATTTAGCATTTGGATATAAATGTAAAGACATACTTAGGGTTGACTAATTTATACTATGTGTAATGCTAATCATTAATACGTTCAATTCTTCTGTAAGAGGATGACAGATTGATTAAATATACATAGTAAAATACTAGGATGTTCAAATTATTTTTTTAAGCAATCTTTGTAATCTTCGATTTGTTTTAGAGCAATATAAATTGTTTTAACTAACAGCAGGTTAAATATAAACTATGGAACTATGAGGTTATTTTATTTACTCTTATTTTGTCATTGGTTAAAGGAAATAAGTAAGATTAGTAGAGATGATTAGACCACAATTTAAAATTGTTTAGACCAAAATTAATTAAACCACAGTACAAATCGAGGCTCTGTACACGAGTCTTAAAAAAAATTATAAATGCAAATTATTTTACTGCTCCACTTTTCAAGGAAAGATTAGAAAAATAACAATGTTTACATGTTTTAATTCTTCATGGTAAAGCTTTTTGTTTACAATTAATAAATGTTTGTCTGCTTTAACTTTGTTTGGATTAGACCCGGAAATATAGATGTCATAAAAAGAAGATCAAGAATAATCAGGAATCACTATTTTAAATTACCACCACAACCTCAGCCGGGTTTTATACAAAGATAAACAGATGGATGACATAGATTGAACACAACGTCAACATTGACCTAGGATACTGCAATTAGACAAACCATCCTTTTATGAAATCATGTTCAGTTGTGGTTACGTTTGGGGGTGCCTATATTAGCGCCCACAAACGTGAAAATATCACTTTTATTTCAACTATGAATATATTGTAGTTTAAATTAACTAATATGGGAAATTACGATGTACATTTTTATTCAATGAGGGTGGGTAATTACCAAGGATAGAACTGATAACGGTATGGATAATAAACATTGACAATTACGTCATTAGCTTTACTAGCGTGTTTACTTTTTATACTCCTGCTACATGTGACCAGTTCTTTTTTTTCAAATGAATGTTATTTGAACCAAACAGCTGTTTCAAAACAAAATGTTATTGTTTTTACTTTTCTTTGTTTACACTTATTTATTTAGCAATTAATGCAGTGAAATTGATATAAAGGATAGGTGTGACGATTACTTTTGATGTTACGACACCAAAATTAAATTATGTGTACTATGAATTTTATTGGATATAATCGTTTTATTTTAGGTCGTTTCATTCAGACCTACTGGAAATTTGTGTATAAAAGTTGTATTGTGGTGATAATAATTATGGAAGAGGCAGGTATGCTATGGAAGGTGATATCGTTGACTAGGTTTATACACTTCTCAATTGACTATTACTCTCTCTACTATAGGCTACTTATAATCAGTGTGCGTCTGTGCGAATCGGCTGCAAATCTCACTTCAACGCTTTTCACATCGTAAAAATTGCAGAACTGCTGTTTTATTGTAAAATTATTGGATTTAAAATGCATATCCTATAGGCCTATGATGGAATAAAAACATATTTGGTCACACAACATTTGTTTACAAGATGATTTTTCACATTAAAACTGCAAGAAACTTTGTCTTCATATGTGTAAACTAGCTGATCTGAATTGTACACGGTTTTAACTGACTACTGAATTCCCGTACGTAGGACGGGCTAACTCCTCGTAACACTTAAAACATATATTTACATTTATACTGTTAAGTTTAAATACGGTAAACACATATACAAGATGGTAAGTTTCGACTCATTTTGATTGGACACTCCAGTCATCATCAGGCCCGATTGGCCGATGGTAATAAGGGCTGGTAATTTATTAATTCATAATGAGTACTTCTCAAGAACAATAAGTTTATTATTTCGTTGGTCAGATCAGCAGATTAAACCACCCCCAGCAGCTGTCTACTGATGGAATTATTTACTGGAAACCCCTTAAATAACTTATGTAAGAAGCTTTGAATCCCCAGAGTCTGCTGCTCCTGTTGAAATATTCTCAACTGATTTTAATGTAACTTTTATTTTGTTTATAAAGACTTTTAAAGTGTTACCTTAACGTTTCTCGGAATTTCAAACTAAACAGAATAGAATTCAGACTCTTATCTTTCACAATAATCGAATTTAAAAGCGTTTAAATCATTTTTAGTAAAAAAAATTGAATTGATTTGTCTTTAAAACATAATTTAATACATGACAGCTTTAATGTCAAAAAAATTGTTGATCTAAAGATAGAAATGAAAACTAGTTTAAAGAGAAAATCGTATATACGCACGGGGGTTGGTTGTATGTAGAGATTCCCAATCTATAACTCTCTTCCATTAAGTAAATATTTTTTTATTTAACCATTAGGCATCCTCGTTTTTAAACATTACACTGCTGTCATTCTGTGTTTGCTAAAAATACATATAGGCTCCTCTCCTCATATTTGACGCCAAAAAAACCTGTATTGAAACCATTTGTAGACAAGGTTGGCTGAACATTAAATCAGTTCTAACAACACACATGACTGACTACTACAAGTTTCCATGTCACACTCGTTGTTCACTGTAAAAAAAGACGACGGTTAACTAAGGGACCAGATTTATGCTAATCTTTTTCCTTGATGTCGTACTCAATTTTCAATGTTCAACATATTTGTTCTAAACTATCTTTAATACACGTACTGGTACCTACTTATCTAGAATTTGACATGATATTTCCTGTTGAAATGATACAGTGATTATAGGCTGACCGCTGTTAACCTGTCAATGTGGAATCTGTTCTGTCTATGATATAATTGTATCAAAATGTTAAGACAAACATTAGTCTTAAATCAGATTACTGTTAAGAGTAGTGTTAAATAAGGGTACTATCAAACTCATATAGACAACTAAATAGTCACCTATATCATAAGACAGTATTGTAAGTTTTTATAGAATTTTATTTTTTCAGATTGTGTCCACGTACAACTCTACCGCGACAGCAAGGACCGATACAACAATGGTCAGACAAAGGCGTCTCTATCGTTACAATACTTCCTTGCTGTACAGTCAGGTGAGTTGGTCAGAAAGAGACTGCTTGGAAATATCAACACAGAGTACTAATGCACACGCACAAGTTATGCTCATCGAGTAATTGCACTGCCAAAGAGTAATACTCTCATTTTAGGATTTAAAAATATATTTTTAAACACACCACAGTCAAATCAGTGTTAGCGAATCTTTGTTTTTGACAGTAATATATTTGCTGTTTAAAGACATGTACAATCAGAACAAAAGTGTAACTCAGCATGCAAACTATTCATTTAATATTTATTGAGCCATAGCTTTACAGTTCGAAAAAAAACAATTTCTTTGTTTACGTTACATAAATAAAAATATAGTTCTTACAAAACATTTGTTGATAGATTTCCCTTTTAACATGACGATACTTTGTATCACTGCGCAAACTTTGGATCTTTACTGAAACATATTTTTTTGTTTTGCATATTTGGTTTATTGTGCCAATGGCTTTTACGACTATACGTCATTCCAGCAGCAATTCATTACATATATTTTGACAAGTACTGTACTATAAATCATTACTAATTATTACCAATTTAGCTACACAGCCCAAAATATTTATGTTTACTTATTGTAATCATAACTTCTATCTATGTCAGTAGAGTACATTTTTTTACCTTGAATAGTGGAAATACTTAAAAATTACATATCTATAATCTTATTGTTTCATTATTGATGATTAATCTTAAAGGGTGAAACCTGAAATAATTGCTATAAAATGTATTTTACTGTGAAGGTTTCACCCTGGACAAAGAGTCTAACACAATAGCCATCATCTGTGAGGACGTGACTGTTATATTCGCCTTCGACACCCGAGAACAGCTGATTCAGTGGCAGGCGAAAATAGCCATCAACCTGGGGGAGGGTGAGTATGTAAGATAGCGATATATATGTAGATATATATATATAAGTGTAGATATATATGTCGATATATGTAGATAGAATTGTTATATTATTAAGGTACCATACATAGATACTAGGATTTAGAATTAGTTCTATCCCATTTTATAATTCTTCTCTTTAGTCTGATCTGTCCAGGGGCTGAAATGGGGGTTTTTAAACATTGTAAGATGTGTGCTTTTATAACACAAATTAATACTTCTGTAAGTTCAAGGTACAGTGGCTTGGTAAAAATAATTGAGTACATTAATGAGCCAATGTATTATTGGTTAGTAAATTGTAACTACTTGGATTTAATGACTAACTTATGAAATGACAGTATGGAAAGCAACAAATACTTACCCGTAACATTGCTTAAAAGTTTTGATAATTCAAGAAGCAACATTTAAAGATTAATAAATTTAAATTACTGTAAATTAATTCACAGACCACTGTTATATTTCAAGTGGGTTACGATTTCTTAAACGTCTAGGTACCTTCCACAAAATGTGTACAAAATATGTGCTTGACCATTCTGCCACATGGATTGTTGTGTCACCAAACAATCCAAAAATCTATTTTTAAGAAAACTCATTTTTACTTGAAACCCACTAACAAATTTAATCAACTATCCTCAGCACATAATTTTCAGATGAGGTTAGAAGGTGTTAAAATTAATTTATAGCATTGAAATTAATGCAAATATGTGTAATTTTAACATGTAGACGAGCAGTTCCTGGTGCAGATCTCATCAGCGCCTCCTAGAAGTAAGCTGACTCCTGGTCCTGCGAGACTGCATGTGCTGGAGAGAAGGTTCTGTCTAACAGCTGGAGTCCCTCCTAGACTGCTTGGCCACTGGCAGATCGCCCAGCTGAGGTAGGTTCAGCTGAGAACGGAGAAGTTGGTTATGAGTAAATTAGCAATTAGTTGCTCCTCACTTGTCATAAATGGTTGAGTGTTATCATTTCAATCGAAAGTTAGCCGTTTAGACCCTAAGAAAAGTCAGTAGCCTTTTGATGGTTCTAAACCAGACCTGGCTATTCTTGTTCTTGAATACATAGGGTTATAGCATTAATACCCAATAACATAATGATGTCTGGGTCCAGCAAATACTCTACTTGTAGCGATTTGTCCACTTATAAAATCTTGCACTGTTTAAATCTGCACGAGTGATTCATTTTACTGACGAAACCCCCTTTCATATTGTACATCAATTTAATGAAAAGTACCATTTTTTAGAGGTTGGCGGCCTCTTTCAACCTTGCATTTACCCATCCACACCTACTGTCACATAGACGGTGAGTCTATGTGGACAGGCAAATGCAAGGTTGAAAGAGGCCGCCAACCTCTAAAAAAATGGTACTTTTCATTAAATTGATGAACAATATGAAAGGGGGTTTCGTCAGTAAAATGAATCATTTTGCTGGACCCAGACATCATTATGTTATCGGGTATATTAATGCTATCACCCTATTTAATATTTAAAGTCAGTGGACTTTACAGTTTCATACTCAATAAATTAACTAATATCAATATTTAATAATTAATTGAGTGGCTGGGGAGGAAGTTTTAAATAGGTTAATAGCATCAATAATTATCAATAGCAATAATTAGCTATTGATTGCTAACCATGACATAAATAATTATTACCTCATAATAGCCATCAATAATATGGCATTAATAAATCTTTCGTAGGCTTATACAATACTACAAATATAGAACTATTTATTGTATTTTTGCGTTACAGAAAGTACGGTGTGGTCAACGGACGGTTCTGTTTCGAGGGTGGGTCTCAATGTGGAAGAGGTGAAGGTCTGCATGTTCTGCTGACTGACAGAGGCAATGACGTCAGCAGGTCCTTCAGCAATGCCGCGCAGGGAAACACCCCTCTAGCCCGGCGTGCCTACCTACACGGTACACCCTATAACTCTTCTCTATCAATAGTTCTTAAAAGTATTACGTTAACAATAAATATTAGAAGTAAGACAGAGATTTAGTAACTGAAAGAAAGCTAAGTTCCTTTGTAGTATAACTGGTAGTTTACTGTCGTATCTGTACTTTGGAGGATTATGGTTAAGTAATTTTAACTCACGTAAATTTTGACCATGTGTATATCAACATACACATACAATGGAAAACTTTTTTGGAGGATATTTTCTGTATTGTGTTCTTTTCCTGTCCTATGCAAAATAATGTTACGTATTCCAACCGATTCATCGCAGTTATTTTGAGTGGTTAAGCAGGAATTTCGAATAGCTTAAATTAATATTATTGCAAAGTATAAAAGCTAAGATTTAAATGTTTAAACACCATGAAATATTAACCGAAAGTTAAATGTTAAGGCAACCAAATAAAAATAATCAAATTGAATGTCGATTGATCAACCCCACACGCAACTCTATGCACCTAAAGAAAATTTTAATAAGCCATACAATTTGTTGGACTATGGCCACTTTTCTGTCCTACTGGTAAACATTTCAGATTGTAACCGTAAACGGTTTCCTTTGTCTTATCGGAAGTTTTACAAGAGATCTGACTCTTAGATAAAGCTTGATACTTATTTGACCAGTGGCTGCCTTGACCCAATGTTGTTTATTTGTTGACAGTCGGAGAGAGGTCCATCAGCAGCAGCAGGACAGAGGCTAACCTGTGCGAACAACTCACCGACTGCCGCTCCAGGAGTCAGGAGAACCTCTGCTGGACTCCTCCGGGGGACTGTGGTGGCTGGGAGTCTTCAGGGTTGTGTCACAGGGTGAGTCTTACAGGGGTATAACTGCAACATAACTCATTGCCAGTCTATAAGCCGTCAATAACATATCATAATATGTTTTGGAAAAAACAACATACAGTGACTTTTATTGCAAAATAAATCATTTATTGATTAAATACATCACATTTCTATGCGTTGGTGTTTCTACACTGCCAAACTAAAACTGGATGTACTGTAGTAATTTTAGTTAATAAAACAAACACCAGATCTATGGTGTATTATTCACTTCAACTGGAGTCCTTAACTGCAAATGATAAGGTAAATCTGTCAAGAATAATAGTAACAACCAAGAAGCGTATAGTTAAAGCAGTCATACAATTTTCAATATTTATTTAAAGAATAATATCGAATAAAAAAACATAATTTTAATAAGAACGATACTCATACGTATTTTGATTTATATTCTAACACTGAACAAAATTAATCATAATGCTTTTTATACTGTTGATTGTGAATTCTGTATTCTTGGTTTTTATTTTCAATCATAACGTTTTTACTATTGATATAAGATTTACAGTAGTTTTTCACTAGGTATGAAAGGTTTTATTTTCATTTGACATTCATTTAAGACATTACACTACTTCTGTATACTTTTTGTCCTAGGAGGGCACAGTGAGCAGGCCCCGCTGTAGAAGCTGCCATGTCCGAATCTCTAGATCCTCGACCGTCACTTGCGCCCCAGGAACCGGCTTCACTTGGACCATGGAGTCATGTAGGTTCCATCGAGAAACGTACTATTGTGCTCATCAAATAATCTAAATGTCACTCGTTCAATTCCGACAAATGTCAAAAGTATTTTGATGGTTTGGAACTGGGCACAGATGTCCGGCTCATTGAGAAAATGACCCTCGGAATAAAGAAATTGATAATCTTAAGGCAGCAACAAAGCTAAACAAGGCATCTCCACTCTATACCCGCATTCTCAATTCATAGTTGTGTTGAAATATGACATTAATAATGAGAATAAAATTACAGGTTGATCCAAGTTGCATATTTAAATGTTTGAACAATGCAAAAATGCCAAAATAACGGGTTTAAGTTTCCAACCACTGTAGTTTGCTGCACTAGGTGGAACGAACTAAGATCAATTTTGACTGATATAGATTCCATGAAGTTCTCACTTGGAAACCAACTTGCTAAATCATGTTCGTGACATTTAGTTCAGTAATTATTAGAATCTTTCGTTTACCCAAAACGTTATGAGCAAACATTTACTAAGATCGTAGGCCTATTTTCATTAATTTACTAACACATTGGTAATAGCAGTATTTACCGGTGACTATACACTAAAGGACTAAGTAATATTTAATTATATTTTTAGCTGTTTTCTGACTAATAATAGCAATTTTCAAGTAATAGCAATGCACCTCTCTTTAGTATGATAACTATTAGGCAGCTTGCATTCTATAAATTCCGCTACTGTCTTTATCAACAAAATTTTCAGCAAACATTTTTCATCCAAATCAAACCTTTTTATCTGATGAGTTCATGAAAGGTTTTTCAGTTATGCATGAAATATCGGGGTATTAATCAAGATGACTGAAATATATGAGCCTGTATAAATCAGCATATAATATTCATCCAAGCGGCAAAAATTGCATAACTAAGTGGAATATTCATTGAATTGAAATCAGCGAGGCAGTATCAGCTGATCTGTGGGATGTGCTGCTGCTGATATCAAACCAGGACGCTGCTTTGGCTGATTTGCATTTTTGTAACCAGATAACTGTACTGTATTTATGTTTAACCTAAACAATCAACATTCAAAATGTTAAATGTGTGCCCAGCTCTTACAAAGTTTCATAATAAATGGAAATGTGTTTGTTAGGGATTGACACTTAGTTTTTACTCTGCATCCATTTTAGTATCTAATGATTTTAAATTCTATTAGATTAGGTAGGTAATTTCTTTACTCGTCCAATGCCATTATTCGTTTGATTTTATTTTTCAGGTGGCATCGGACAATCCATTGCGAAGTCTCCAAGTTGTCAAGATTCGCGACAGACTTCAACGTTGGCAACTATCTGGTAGGTTCATAAATTTGGCTATCGAACTAAGCAAATTTTCTTCACTTGGAAAAGAAACACTCAAAACCAGAAATTGGTTTGATTACAGCACTTTTAAAATTATGCGTTCCTATGTCTATGCTATCTTAAAAAAGGAAAATGTTATGTGCGAAGTAAAATAATTAGTAAAATAGTCAAACTCATTACCTTAACGGACGTAACGGGCATTACAGTTACCTTAATTTTTAGACATAATTTTGTATATGCTGTCTGGCTCTGGCATTAGAATAGACCGCAGTACCCCCTGCTCGTCGTAAAAGTCGACTAAAAGGGGGGGGGGGGAGCGCAACAATTATTTTAGCGTCTCATCTGCATACCAACATTTCCGGTTTAAAATCAATAGACAATTTTTTCCCCCCAAATCACTTTGGTCTATTGTTGTGTATGGCTCCGTGTCCTTCTTTCCCTCGATGCGATGGACGTCCGTTTTCTTGCACATCCCAGGCTGCCCTATCATCCGGCGAAAATCTCTTTGGCCGTAGTAGTGCCGAATGGCGACCGGATAGAGGATCCTGTTGCGCCTTTTGGGGAGCTGTGCCGAGACTACTGCCTTTTCTGGAACGTTCTGGGTTTTGGGCATGGCATGGAGTATAGCCGTGCATGAGGTGAACCAGGGTGACATTCTCACGAGGTCACAGCATAGGGGGGAAGATTTTGAAAATATGGCAGAAAACAAGCAAAAAGAAAACGTTTCAATTTTGCAAGAAAAAACTTCGGGTTCCCTAACCCCAAAAACAGGCAGAAACGACACCTGAAGTGGACTTCGACCCGTTTAGGAGGAGCTCACGTTTGAGTCGCTCCCCTGTTCGCGCCCGTCCTTTCACTCCCAGTTCCGATTCATCGCCTCTCTCGGAAACTCTGCCAGAGCAGGGCAGTGAGAAAACGGCCTCGCCATACGAGGCCGTGATTAGTACTGTAGAAAGCACCAGCCAAGCGGGAAAATCCCTTAATAAAACGCAAACTATATGAAGTAAAAACATCGAAAAACTCTATAAGAAAAAAAACAATAATTGATTTGTAGTTATCTTAATGGTACCAACCCCTTTACAATAATCCCTTGAATAACATGAGTTTTGTTGGAATTTGTATTTTAGGTGGCCAGAGACATAATCAGCAGCATGGCATACGATAAATCTATGACAGAAAAGTCATGATCTCACGTCCTGACCCATCACTAAATCAATACAGTTTACATCAATTTACCGGCTCGTCACATGATTTGTTGTTACATTCTACAATCAGACCCGAGGCCTATGGGGAAGGTCATAATACAAAATTAAATTTCAATTATTCATCATTTCCAGGGATCCTTCCAGCCCAGGTCGGCCTCCACCTCGGCCTCCGAAGACCAAACCTCCTCCAGCCCCGGAGGATCTTCCAGCCAGCCTCAAGAGACCAAGGCCGTCCCCATCAATGCCTGTTATTGGCCTTGGGCGATGTGACTGCGATAGCACTAACTTGGTAGGGTTGTTTTTGTTTTCAAAGATTTTTGCGAATACAAGTTTTTTTCTGTAGAATCTATTTTGTTAGGAATATCTTTCGCTTTTAATTAGGTCATTCACTGTAATTATGATAAAGGCCTAGTTACTGAAATTGATTTGTTTGTTTCCTCATTATCATATTTATCTAGCATGCATTTATGTTTCAAGATGGACAATATAATATTTATTTTGTATTAAAATGTGACATAGCCTACTGCTCTGCTGAATGACCAGATAAATCGTTAAATCATTGAATATCCTAAGTAGCATGAAAACAGTTTGAACTGGTACTGAAACAGTACTATATTGTACACCAGTTATATTGTAATACCAGTCACAACACTTTGTATTAAAGCTGTTTTTATACAAGTTATAAAAAATTTTAAAACCAGTCACAAAACTTGTATTTAAACTGTTTTGACACAAGTTTTAAACAATTTTAAAACCAGTCACGTAACTTGTATTAAAAATGTTTTGATAAGAGTTTGAAACAATTTTAATACAGTTCGTAACAGTTTCACAACCAGTCACAAAACTAATATTAAAGTTGTTTTTATACTAGTTTGAAACAATTGTTATGCAATATTACTACAGTTTACAATTAAGTACAATTATTCAAAAATTGTATGACACGTTTTCCAATCTGGGATGCCAGATCTGAACTCATTCCAGTTCTGGCATCTAGATCCGAGACCTACCTTTGAAATATATACCCTCACACAATTGACTGTCTTCTGATTTTTATTTGTTTAAATTAATTTATTTTTACAAGTTTATTTATGAATGAGAATGCATTGAATTTAAAGTGAGAAACAATTAATGCTATGATAAAAATTTTAATATCGAAAGTAAAAAAAAAACAAAAAAAAACAGTTTAACCGAAAACAAATAAAGGTTAGGATGCAATTTAATTCCTAACTTATGGAGATTGCATTATACCCCTTTTGAGTGAAAAATGTTTGAAAATGTTCACTGTTTTATACTTATACTACAATAAATATAACCATAAATATATTTATTTTTTTGCGTGTAAAATATATATATAACTATATATAATATATATACTGAACGTAATTAGTTAAAAACAATTATGTAGTAAAAAAAAATGTTATTCCCTAATTTTAATATACATTTATACACAACCTTAAATTCTTCTATTTAAGCAAAGAATTTAATTTCTTTAAAATCAAGTATCCAGATCAGGACCCAGATGACAAAAAAACCCGATATTTACCTTACATACACCTATTGTACAATTTAAATATAACAACGGTAGTAAATATGGGTAATATTATACTAATCATTCATTATACTGTATTTGTTATCAATATATATCATTATACCTTTGCTATCAAACAGCCTCAAATATAATGTCACGTAATTGGGCTTTATTAATAATACATTCTTGAAATGACACAATGTCAGAGAAAAATCTTATTTGAGTTAAATTATGAGGCCTAATACAGCTTCTCAGTTCGACATGTAGCAGCCGTGGTGTCTGGAGTCATTGGTTCTAATCCCGGCCGATTTAATGAACATTTTGCAATATTTTTTTTTTACTTTTTAATTTTATTTTATTTTTAATGCATAGTTAATATGATTCAATGTTTTGAATCAAGCTACAAATTGTTTTGTAACAAGCTACAAATTATTTTGAAAGAAGCTACAAATTGTTTTGAAACAAGATTAAAACTGTTTTGATACAAGTTTAAAACTTTTTTTTTAAACAAGTTTAAAACTGTTTTGATATTGTTTTACAACAGTTTCAAGCTTGTATTGATACTGAAAAAATTCCAAATAAAACTTGTATTGATTCAGTTTTAAAACAAGTGTACAACAGTTTTGTAATTGTTTTGAAACATATTTCACACTACTTGGGAATCATTGAATTTTGGATAATTTGAAGTATCCAGTATGAACTAGATGTAGCCTATCTAACTATGTATAAAAGTAAAACGTGTTACAGTCCTAATTCTGTTTTCTCTATAAATGTTTTTGTTACTGTAATGGATTAGTTTTTTGTTACTGGAATAGTCATAGTTTAACATACGTTGTATTTTTAGTAGAGAGTTGGTGTATTCGTAACAAATCAGTAAATTAACATCAGTGTAATCTGAGTTGGTGGTTCTACTAAACTACGTTAATTTTCATTTTAAAACTACAACTCTAACATGGGAATGGAAAGTTTGATCAATTATCAATAATTATCAAATAATTTAAGATGGGGCGCCACAATTTTAAACCAAATATGAGTGAATTATGAGTGTAGGATGAGTAGGGGGGGGGTAGTGGGGGGGTAGTGGGGGGGAGGGGTAGTGGGGGGGGGTGTGATCTTGTAGTCTTGTTAGTGACTAAGGCCGACATGTTCCTTAGACACTGGCAACTACGGGACATACAGTTTATAATGGAATCCGAACTACATTTTTCCTTGTAATTAACGAATTTAGTGCAGACGTTAATCCACACCAGGGAGCATCGCATCCACAGTGCATGCCTATAAATATCCACAATTTGTGACCTCCTAGTAGCTGGATTACAGGACGACACCACCGTCCCAGTCTCACTTATCTAAAGTTAAAGTTACTACCTAATTAAGAGTAATTTTTAATTTTTTATTAACAGAATTAATGTTTAAAAGCTGCCTTTTTGACGTCTTCTAGATGACTATATGAAATCCATTGACTATAAATCGACTATAAATTCATTAACTATATGAAATCCATGTATAATGGTTATTTATAGTAACCACGGGCCTGCGGTGCTTGAGGTCACGGGTTCAAATCCCGCCAACCACCAATGTATTTTATTTATGTGATAATGCCGATACCCTCCAGGAATAGCCTGGAGTAATGTGGAAAACAGTTCCGGGCTAGAACCTATGGTCCTAGGATGTGAAGGTGGGATATAAAAAAGGTGTATTTGTATAAAGTGTTAACCTGTCTAATAGTGTTCAAAGAAATTTTTTCAAATGTATTTTTATGATAGTACCAACGTGTAAGGTGCAAAACATTCGAGAAATTATTCAAATTGGGATTTATTCTCCATATGAACCCATGGTTAATACTTATCACTTTTACAGGTAGAAGAATATTATGACACACCACGAAGTTTCAAGAGCACTATCCTTGAAGAGCCTGAGAGGTAATATAGAAAGATTCTATTTCCAATACAATTTAAATTTTCTTTGTCATAACTTTAGGTAAATCTGTAATTTTATCAGCGTTTGGGAACGGTAGAGACTTGAAACTCTGTTATAAAATCGGATTATTTTTTATAAGAACTTTAATTTCCAAATAAATAATTATTGATTTTTGCAACTTTATTATTACTATAATTTAGCCCAATAATGAATAATATACTTGGGTTAATCTTTGAAACGATAATGAATACATTCCCACATATAGTATTTTAAACTAGCATTCAAATTAGTAAAACAGTATGAGTGTAGAATGGTATAAGATGATGCGTGTAGCCTTTTTACTGACTAAGATCGTCCTTTTCATTAGTCAGGATCAATTATTCGTGATCAGGAACGGATGTGTCTAATATGAAAAGAGTATGCATTTGAACATATAATTAGTTTGCTTTATATTTTAACAAACATGTTTTGTTTTACAGATCAGATACTAACTCTCATTGCGTAGACAAAACCGTCTGCAATTGTCAAGCCAACGCAAACACAGGGATAAGTCAATCTTTCTCCGTAAACCAGGTAAAAGGCAATGAGCAAACTCACCGATACTATCTGTGAGAGATTCATTTCGTCACAATGCCAATATTGTTATTTTGAACTGCCATGTTCATTTCTTACCCTTATCTTGGTGATATTGAAAGCTATTTAATTTATCAGTTTGTGGAATTATAAATAAAAATATCTAATTGTAATCAGTAAAAAAATTATTCAAATTATTGTAAATTTCTAGTGTACCACTTTATTATGCTTTAAGGACGTAACGATAAATTTATAAAACAATTATTCGAATATAAATATATTTTGAGTCAGCAACGCTACCAGATTTTTTATATTTTTATTTCCGAATTGACTCTCTGGTAATGCAAACCGTAGTCAAACCATTTTTTACTTTTATTTCTAACAAAATGGCATTAGCATTGATTATGTCATTAGTATTCATCTATTTTAAACAAACTAAAACCATATTTTTTCTTAAATTTATTTTGTTGTCTAATTGTATACTGACAATGTATACATGTTCTATAAAACAAAACAAGGAAAACATTTTTACCAATTTAAAAAAAAACATCGTTCATATTTATTTCACAATGTTCGATTTGTTTCAGTCACTTCTTCAGCTAATGGCCAGAGGAACTTCACATACAAGTTTTCCTAAATCTCAGCAATCCATGAATTTTCACAACAAATTCCATGTGTACCAAAACGATGAAGAACCTTCAAGTCTTTCGTCAGATCCAGGGTGGCAGACAGAGTCTTGCAAACAGGAATCCCATTCCAATTGCTCTTGCTATATGAACGTAAAAGCAAACACTATGTGCCAAGCAAGGAGATGTGTAAAATCAGTGACCTTTTCTGACCTTCCTAAACACGTACAAACACCAAACTATGTAAACATTGACTTTGCCGAATCACTTAAATATTACGAAAACTGTAAAGATTGTTATAAGAAATTGCTCTGCGAGTTTGACGGTGATCGTGAGCTTAGTTTCAATTCTGAGTGGCTTGATGGCTTTTGTAGGAATTGTTCAATCAGGCAGAATAATTTAAGGCAAATAGGACAATCAAATAGTGTGGATGATACTCGCGGGTACATCAAAATGTCGTCTTTAGCAAACATAACAAAAAGAAATGATGAAACGTTACCCACCAGAGAAACTCCAGTATATGTCAAGTCTTTCTTCAAGTCGAGATCTAAAAGTTCGATTTGTTTACACAGTATATGTAGGCAACCAAAGGATTATAAAATTAGAGCAATTAGTGATCCTGAAATTCACCTTATTCCAAATAGTCTAAAACGTCCGAAAATCTCTCTGTCCAAACTAATAGACTTTATACGAAACCTCCGTCCAGTCACCGCTCAAGAGATCCAAAGACATGCGAGAAAATCGAATTTATCCAACGTCAAAACCCGTTTAGAAGAATCTCAATATCATTCTGATGACACTATATCATCAGATACCATGGTCAACACTGCCAACGACATCAGTGTCAAAGGATCTTTGAATTCTTTGTGCAGTGAAGCTTCGAGGTTCCCAGGAAATAAGTTCTTGTCTGTCTCTGAGCTCAATTCATCTTTGTCGTCCGTACCTGGGAAACTTGAAGGTAAAGAATCTGATATAGAAAAGTACAAAGAACACTTAAGAAATCTTCAGCTTCCACACTTCCCGACTGATCTCAACGTTACAAACAGCCCTTGTTTGTCAGCTTTAAGGAGATCTTGCACCGTCAGCTTTAAACCTGGACACAATCGTGATTCTTCAAGCTCCAACGATTCTGGAGTGTCAACCGCTTCCTTGAGGCTCAGAAGAACTGACTTTACCGAGTTTGAAATGCCAATTACCACTTCTCTCTCCGCCAAGCTACTTAGAGAGTACGCACTCAGACAGATGAAAAAGTCCTCCAGTGACTTGAGTCTCCCTAGAAGATCCAAATCGATTGACCCTCTAGGGGAACTGGTGTTTCAGTTTCAAGAATCTTCTAGTTCAGCGAAATCTACATCTGCTCTGCTCACAGTTGTCGATGGAAGAGGTAGGTTGTGTATTTTATAATCAGGTTAATTACTGATGTATTTATGAGGTAATTTTCGATACCAAATTATTTATTTAACAATTACTGATGTGTCTAAGCTCTTGTGATATTACGAGGCTTTACCCGTTGCTACAAGCAATTTATTTATCCGTGTAAGGATAGACCACACGTAAATGCACCTAAAACATAGATAACTAACTGGTATTCTATTTTACATTCATAATAAAGTTACCAATGTAGGGGTAAACAAACAAAGACTTGTTTGGAAGACATTCGTTTTTTATAAATCTTTGGTTTGAAGAAGCAGTCCTTACAACTCATCTACTTAGACGACTTAAGGAAACTCGTCTACTTATTTGGTACATAGCTTAGTATACAGAATTATTATCTAGGATAAGGAAACATAAAGTTAAAAGTTTATCCTACTATATTCTCCTTTTAAGATTATGTATACCAATCATTCCAGAAAAATATAGAAAATGCCTATACTTTGAATTGCTTTCTTGACAAGGAAACCATTTAATTTTGATAATTTGTTGAATTCTTTTTCAATAAAAGAGGTTAGCTTCCTCTTTTTCAATAAAGAGGTTAGCTGCCTCTTTTAATCTTGCATTTGCTCGTCCACATAGGCTCTGTCCCTATGCGTGGAACGTATCCAGCAAAGCGAGGGGTGAGCCGTTACAATACAATGGTGAACTTTACTGATAAAAGGCAGCAGCAGTGACCAGGATCCGAACCCACGACATCACTGTTTAAACTTAATTTCACCTAATTATTTAATTTTATATATTTTAAAATATTTATTTTGTTATTTTACAATATCTCTCATACAAATTATACAAGATATGTACGGCGTACACGAAAAGAAAAGATCAAAAGTAAAGAAAAGATAGAACTTATAAATTTACAAGTGAAAAATAATAAATAATCGTTTGTTGTACAAAGTACAAAAAATCCCCAGAACACGATAGTTACACTATGATTATGTAATGTCCACTTTACACATTAAGATAACTTATACTACTCCTGCTGTCACAGAGGGGAAGATACTGAGGTTTATAGACGCACCGAGTACCAGCAGCGGGACATCAGACTTGTCAGACTATATGGACAACCTGTCTATATCATCCTACAGCTCCAACGAGCATACCAGGTACAGACAGCCCTAGTTTTGCTTATTAAAAATTGGATGTACGTTTAAAATATATATATATATATATATATATATATATATATATATAACACCGAGGGATGCAATTAGTCGTGAGAAATATAAGTGTGTCGGTTAATATGCTATGTGCAGCTGTTTAACTGAGTTATACCAGATAAGGGCACATTATGTTTCCAAAAGATCGTTTATTTTCCTAATAAAATATTTTCTTTTGTATAACTTTTGTTTTAAATTGGTGCTTAGTCAATAATGGATTATGGTTCGACCATTTGGACAACTCGGTCCGGTGTAAAAAATAAAAACTGCCTCTTTGGTAGAGTCAAACTGATCACCTACTGTTAAATTGGCTTTATTCCATAACCAAAACCTCACTGAAATTAACTTTTAGGAAAAAAATTTTAAATTGTGTACAAAATTATAATAATTCATGCAAATTGTTATCTCATTGTTGGAAATAGTTATTGGTTCACCAGTCCTTATTTTGTATGTTGTTCACTAGAACTTCAAGATGTCCTGTCACAACGTTGAAACCACGTTCTGGAAAGGAGTACCACAAAGTCGGCCATTTAAGCCTGCAGCCTACAAAAGAGGTAAACAGATAAGTACAAATCAATTCTCTCCATACCGGGGAGCGAGCTGGTCTAGTGGTAGAGCGCGGGACTTCAGTCCCTGAGGTCCCGGATTCAAATCCCTCCAAATCACAAATGGATTTTATCCAAGTGATAATGCCGCAACCTTTGGTCTAGCCTGAAGTAATGTGAAAAACAATCCCAGACTCTAGCCTAGCGTCTTAGGTCAAAAAATAACCAATACCAATCAATCAACCTATTCCTGGGCATAATCAGGGCAGTTCAAGATTCGTTCAAGATTTTTTATCTTCTCATATGCTAATTATATTTGAATTTACATATTTTAAATGCCAAAAATATCCATGAATTCTTTACGGAAAGATTGTAACTTAAATTAATGTTTTACAAAATTCTCCGATTTTCGAAGCCTATTTCAAATATTATGAATTGAAATATTTGTGAATGCCTGGTCTCTTTTTGGTCGAACTAACTAGTTTGTAAAACATAATTGATGGCATTTTACGTTTATTTAAAGTATAAGTATGAAATCTAACAAAGTATCACATTTTTATTTCATAACTTCTTGATCAGTATCATTCGTGTTACTAAATGATTACCTAAAAGTACAAAAATACGTCAAATAACATAATATATGTACCCTTATACTGTTTACTAATATGACGATAAATATATATAAAATATGGTAATTGGTGATCATTTTCGATTGGACACTCCACTCATCATCAAACCCAATAGGCAAATTGTGATTAAACAGTATAAGTGTAAAATAAATTTATAACATAACAAGTCTTATTTGACGTATTTTGTACTTTCAGATCTATACTTTAAACAGTGTCTATTAACATAATGCTTTAAACAATCGACGTGCTGCTATGTATCCATTGTTTACAAGTTTAAATAATTTTCAGGATGGGTCTTGTGATTCCCAGGATCAATCGTCCGTGTAGTGGAGAAGAAGAAGAAGAAGAAGACACTGGCTGTGATAGTTTAGGTTAACGAAAAGTCTTACTTATTTTCAACCAGCAATACTTCTTTGGGATGTAATTTATACGATGCAATAATAAAGCAATCTCATTTATTATCTTTAACGATTCTATAAAACCTCTTATATAATAAAATGCATCTTGTAATTTGTAAGCAAATAAAAAAAGAGATTATCTACTTATACAACATCAAATGGATTCAATTGATATACTTCAATCTCTAAAGACGACTGACTGAACCAACAGATTTCATTTGAAAAGAAATGCCTTTTCGTAAAGGTTTAAAGATGAATAGTATTACTCTACAAGTTTTGTCCCTGAAAATCAAAGTTTCGATTTCTAATAGGCCTAAAGATAATCATTTATTTACAATTTATGAAATATGTGCAGATTTAAAACCACTGGTATGGTACTAAAGTTAGTTGAGGTAGCTTTAAAAGTTTAAGGTAAAAAAGTTTAATTTAGGGTAACTAAATTGGATTATTCTACATTAAAATTTTATTCATTAAAATACCAATAGTGTATCACAATGACGAAGTCATGTTTTTAGTTCTTTTTAATACCATGTCCTTTTAAATATTTGGTACCATGAATACTTTCTGTTTTAAATTTGTAATTTTAATTTTTTTTTATGAGATGTAGTAACTCTTAATACTCAACTAAAAAATAAAAATATGAAAAATTGCTTAAAAACTAATATTTATATTAACTTATCAATCAAGGTTTAGTGCTTGAGAATACTTATTGATATTCATATAAATTGTATTGGAAGATTGTATTTTGAAACAACAGTTAAGCTACATCCTAACTATTATATATTTTGATCTCCAACAAACTTATCACATATTCAAAAACTTGTATATTTTTAATACAATGAGGTTGGATGTTTTTGTAGAAAGGTGTAACCATTATTGTCTCAAATGATTGTATCTGCTTACGACTAACTGGAGTGTTAATACGGTTGTGACATATCAACCTAACATAATATTGGCAACATGTGAGTATGTCAAATGTTATATTGATATGCTTTATATGTCCAATGTCGCCATAGGTAAGCGTCGTCTTGGAGACAATCTTTGTGCGGTTGACACCGTTGACTCTGACACAATTGTATCCTACAGTGACAATCCTCTAACTTACATACATTTTAGACGTGCGTTAGACTATAAAAGTGTTACTCAAAGCCATGATGTAAAACATTTTATTAGAGATCGTAGGACTTAAAAAGGTGAATAATACACCATGAGGTTAAAGTTTTATTGAAAATGAGACATCAATATTGCCAGTAAGAGCATAAGCAAGACCAACTACTTCAAGAAATGTAAAAATAAAATATCTAAAAGGCTCTACTTGCCCCTTAGGAAGATATAGCGTTGTTCTCGTTCAAATTTTCCTAACTGTCCCTAGTCTATGATTCCTACGTCAATTATGTTAAGTCACAAAAAAACTCTAAAGAAGAGATTGAAAAGTTAAAAAGAATAAAGTCACAACTTTAAAGATCGTCAGTCCCAACTTTAAAGATCGTCACTCTATAAATGAGCAGACATTGCTACAGCGGGAGGTGCCTTATTATAGATAATTTGTTAAAGGTACTAAGACACCTATTCTCTACCCGGGTGAGAAATCTTACCCAGTGACTGTGAACAAGAAAGTTCCTTACCCACTAAATAAATAAATCATTTCTATCCCTGGGAAAAAAGATAATAATATTGTGAACACCATTTTTCACTGGCTGTAACTTCACAACAGTTTCAGATGCTATAATAATAGTTCGAAATGCTATATTAGTAATTCCTCATCCGAAAACTCCATAACTATGACTGACTTTCTTCTTTACTGGTGGCGTATTTCCTGCTTCCACTGTGCCCACCAACAAAATATCTGACTCAAGTTAACCACTTACCGAAAATCTTAATCTGAATCGGCGTGCACTTTGGACCGCGATGTTAAGATGACTGTGGAATAGATTCCCCACATGGAGAAGTAGGTGTCTCCGGTCAAGGCCCCGCTTTAAATCCACGACCATCATGAACAATTGGAACTGTTGTAAGTTCATCAAAAATATTGCCACCTCATGAGAATTTCAAACACTAAAATACTCATCCATTTCCTAAAGAAAACTGTCTGCGATGACTTTATGTTTGAATCTTGACGAAGATACTTTCACTGTCTGTTGTGATAAAATATAATTAAAAAATGTATTCTAAAACTGATTAAATCGATTTTTTTCTCATATATTTTGTGTATGTACGTTTAGCAAGTAACTCTAATTTATGACAGTATGTGTATACAGTATTTTACTTTATAGGAAAATAAATGCTCAAATCAGAAACTTACTAATTTATAGATTGTATATTTTGTAAGTCCGAACACGTACATTGTTTACCAGCGATACATGTTCCCAGTGATTGGCTGGATTTGCCCGAAGCACGTTCTGTCTTGTAGTGCTCAGATCAGCTGATGACAACCATCCCATTAGCGGGTTCTCTCTCACTCTGGATTCATTTTTATTACTAAGGTACCAAAATATTGTTCTTTTATTCAATTTTGTGTGTAATGGTTATTTAAATCTTGGTATTGCAAGTAACCTCTAAAATTTGATACATTGGATTGTTAGTCCATAGCTGAAATCAGGATTGGTTTCTAGAATCGAACATTGGATTCGAACCAGCAACCTTCAGATTTTAAGGCGAGCACTATAAGTAATAAGCTAATCAGAGAATTGTTTGAGTCTTTCTAACTTTTTTTAGTCTGGGCATACTAACAAAACACATATTTTAGGGGGAACAACAGTTAAAACTGTTTATACTGCCAAATCGAATCATGTTACAAATTAAGATACCGATTTACTAAGTTACAAGTAAAAAAGTACTGATTTGTTATCTACTGTAAGCTATAATACAGGGTAGTAATGATAAAATTTTGTTTAAACCTATCTTAGGTATCTCACTAAGACTTCAAGAACATTGTCTTCAGTTTG